TAACTCAGGTACCTCTATATCTAATATGATAGAGTTTGATGGAATTTGTATAAAAAACGATATAAATTTAGTATGATAGAGTTTCATAAAGAGTGGCATAGTTTGAAGCATACATTGTATAAATGTAGCCAGTGAGTAAGTAAATTTTATTTATAAGGGTGTGAAGTTATATAACTTGACTATAACAATTAATGTACTAGTCCTGCAACTGTTTGTTCTTTAAACTCATTTAATTTCTTTCGTTACATTATTTTCCACTTGCGTTTGTTTACCACTCTTCATAATTCTCCTATTAGGGATGCCAGTAGTCTGTTGGGGCCCTCTGGCCCTCCAATTAGCTCGAATACCTCGGGATTGCTAAACCCGTACTGTAGCTATGTCAATCAAACATAGCTACAGCCTCTGAGGGCAAGTGACAAGGAAGCTGAAGCTATTTGGATGGATTCCACCATTGTGACGTTGAATGGTTCCTCCACTATATTACCCACGACAAAAATTGATAAGGAAATATTCATCTTTGTCAATAAAATGTAAAAGACGAAGCTTTTGCGTGGGCAATAATTGCAGAAATTGAAGTGAAAACATAATTCAAACAATGACTTCTTCCTATAACGTAAAAATCTGTATTTATTCGTGTAGTACATGATATTCAAAATTACACAGGTAATAAAGATTGTACAGTTGACACGAAGTATTCTTGTTCTGCAAATTCTGAAAGTCGTACAAATTACAAATATTACTTATATTATACAAAATATTCAAATTTTACAATATTTGTAAAATGCGGAAGCAATACTCGATGAAATAATTTTTGTGTTTAAAGAAGGAGAAAATGTACGAGTTGTTCAGATGATACAAAAATTAAAAATACGCGTTATACTAACATAGACAGTAAGAAATCAGATTGACACGTTGAACGCCACGTCACCCATATATGGGCGACAGAGTATTTCGCTAAAGAACCGAATAAATTAATTCTGCAAATTAGAAGTTAAAGAAAATAAATCTGCATAGAAGTTGTGAATTTGGCGAAGTCGCAAAAATAAATACAAATAAGTTTCAATTGTATAAAAACATTCACAGCGATACTCCATGCAAGACTGAAAAAACCTGAAAAGGTCGTAGAAATTATATTCGTTATTCAAGTTATACAAAATCTTCAAATTGTACAATACATATTTACAAAATGCGCAAGCAATACTAAATAAAATAGTTCGTGTATTTAAAGGAGTAATACAAATTGTACGTGTTGCACATGTTGTACACGTTATACAAACATAAACAGTAAAATGTTAGATCGATAGATATCAACTTACCTAGCTACATTTACAGCGATGCATGATTTCTATCTCCGTAAGAGTAGGCTACTCCCAACCATTCGAACTAAAATGATGAACCTAAATGATATGAAATCGCTTGAAAGCAATCACGCCTACTTCTGGATAAAAAAAAATATCGCCGACCAATCTTTCACCCTCTTGTCCTTTCTCTCCGGTCTCCTGCGAGTCATGTTCCATTCGAATAGTTCGAATAGAATCGGCGGCGGAGCTAACGTTTAACTGCGGAACGCAAATCGTCATATCGCATTACAAACTTATAAACATGCAAACCGTTTCTCGAGTAACCTTCGGAAACAAGTAGGTCACTGGGGCTGTTGACGACGGTTTTCCCCATTTGGTGACGAGCCCGCTCCCGCAAATAGTAAATTTCTGTAAATTGGATTGAATTTTACAAACGACTCCGGGGAACCTTTTCCCCGTTTCCTGACTCTCAACCCTTCACGAGTTTCGATCTTCCTCGGATTTCAACGCTAAACGTATTAATTCGAATGCAAATACTGTGCATCGAATGCAACTAGTTCTGCATAAGCTGTAACTAGACTGCGGATGTTCATGCTAATTCGCATTTCTGTATATTGGGTTGGTTCATAAATAACTTCCAATGTGGATAAGGAATATGGTTATAACAACTTGAATAATATTCAAGTTATGTTCATTCGTCACAGAAACAAGAAATGTGCTAAGTAAAATTACAAATACAATAATCCAATTGAATAGCAATTTTTAATTAATTGTATTTGAGAATAAATGATAATCAACGATGGCGATTGTATAAGTTATCACAATTCACTCTTATTTTATAAATGGTGTAACGTGTACTTCATTGTTAATATTTGATGTATTTTTGCATTTCCGTAAATTCTTTTATTTTCTCGTATCACTTGTTATAAACGCATGAACACTCGCAGTGTGGCTATAACAACTCGAATAATGTTCAAGTTGTGTTGATACATTACAGAAACAAGAAATGTATTAATTACCATACAAATACGATATATCGATTACAACTAGTTTTGCATTACGTACAATAGGTCAAATAATGTAAAAGTTGTACACAAATGTTTTTGAAGAGATACCTATAAATAAAATAATACAGGTAATAAGTATACATAGGAATAAATGCGCTAGTTGTTTTAACACCTGGCGAACATTTTGTATGAATCAGAAATCTCTTAATTTTCAAAGCTGATAGAATTTTCCTGCGCAAATGACCAAGTTATTTCTTATGAAAAATAACAAAATTCTGCTGAAACAACGATTTTATGGACATTTTCAAACAGTCGTTTTAGCACAGCCCCCTCTAATGTTATTACCCGGGGCGGTCCGCACCCCTTGGTGACGTCACTGCAGAGAGATCGTCGTTGACGCGTGGTAGCTGCCAACGCGGAAACTAGCTCTCCCTTTAACCCCTCGTGACTATATTTACTAGTCTACTTTAAAGTAGTGTAGCCACATTCTACGATATAGTCGTATACCCACTTTAAAGAATTATGTCCACATTTTATATTTCTAATTTACCTCTATTATCAATGTTTTTGCAATATTCAGGTGGAGATAGACCTAATAAACATTTATCTAGCTATTATCCATGTGTATATTATTCCTTTACAACGAATACTTTGCAATTTCCAAAACCAAAGTGGATACCTTAAAATGTGGTGAATAGAGACTCTTGCAGACCTTTGAGATCCTGCTACATCCTGATCATTTCTGAAAAAAATACTGAAATCCTTGAATTATTAAATGTTTGAATAACATTTGACCAAATAATAACGATTGAAAAATATAACGCTGTTTCTAATACCCCAGCAAATTGGGATGGATAGAAACACTGCTTTAAAAGTATGTTAAACGATCAATTGAACTTTGTTGGAAGGCTAGAAACGTTGTAGTAGATGTTGGGGCGAATAAACACCTTAGTAAATTTCTATCAAAAACTCTATTAGCAAAATGAGCTGTAGATTATCTTTACAACTGCAAATAATACAAATTAAACAACGAAACATAACATATTGAAATTTCATTTCTGTTCGCTCCATTTTACGGTACAGATAAGAATCTGTGTTTATATTAAAATTCACGTCTTAATTTTAATCCTATTATTAATTTTTACCGACAAATTTTTTAAAACAAAACAATATTTCAGGAGGCAAACATAATTTAAGCTACAGAGGGTTAATAATTACAGTTGCGGATTTAACCTGTTTACACATTATATATTAGATGTAGAAATTAATTCTATGCTGAAAGTTAAACTTACCATTTATTACCAAAGGAAAATTATACAACTTTCAATCTTCCATTAGTCACACATTTTAACGATGCGAGACGTATAACTGTAAAACCAAATATGTTGAAGCAATCTGTGTTTTATTATTACAAATGTTCATACTTTACTGTAACATAATGGCAGGTAAGTGTTAATACTTAAACTGAATTATAAAGAAGTAAATGTAAATGCATAGAATTAGTTTATACGCGTAATAATTTTTGTTCAAGTACACTTGTAATTTGTTAGAAGAACAACAATAAGCAAAATTACTGAACTTTGTATATACGTAGGCGTAGATATATTGTAATGGTCATTAAATTAAGACTTAGCATTACAATGGTCATTATGCATTTTTTATATAACTTTTATTAAAGATAAATGGTTATCGTTTACACTTTCAATAATTACATATATATTTTCTATCGCGTTTCTTTCCTCTTTTTAACGGTGAAACATTTACATTTACAGTCAGACTTTCTATCTATATAATATAATGGAGATTTGATTAAGAACTTAAAAGATAAGTAATTTAAGGGGATATCCCGAATTAGGAGGTCTGAAAAATGCGGTTTTCCGTGAATTTTTTTAGGATGGAAAAAAATAATTCTATCGAACATTTTATTCTATTAACATACATATTTGAGTAGTCTGTACAAATTTTTTCAACAAGAAATATTCAAATTGAGTCGACTGTGATGCACATTTGTAGAGCACCACACAATTAAAACCTCCTATCGGCGGAAAAGATGCAGGTTGTAATTTTGGGTTGACACAAAAAAAACCAAAAGAAATTTTCATTTTCATACATTTTTCTTCTATGTGAACTAAGAAAATTCATACAAAAAAAATGTTAAACAACTTTTTTATCAAGTTAAAGCGATCTTTTTCACCCGAAGAACTCGTTCTTTTTTTTCAAACTTGCAGTAATTTCACATTTCATCATTTTTGCGGGATTTTCTTAGTTCACATAGAAGAAAAACGTATGAAAATGAAAATTTCTTTCGGTTTTTTTGTATCAAACCAAAATTACGACCTGCATCTTTCCCGCCGATAGAAGGTTTTAATCGTGTGGTGCTCTACAAATGTGCGTCACAGTCGACTCAATTTGAATATTTCTTGTTGAAAAAACTTGTACAGACTACTCAAATAAGTCTGAAAATAGGATAAAAAGTTCGATAGAATCGATTATTTTTTTCCATCCTAACAAAATTCACGGAAAACCGCATTTTTCAGACCTCCTAATTCAGGATACCCCCTTAACGTAACAAAATGTAAAGTAAATATTTTTACTTGAAGTACAGTGTACAGTTATAAACGATTGAACGTAAAGGCACAGAATGAATTTTTTTTTTTTCAATTACTTTATTTAAGGTCACATCAACTTCAGGGTTATTAGTGACCACGTTAATATTTATAATTCAATTACAATTTGTTCATTATTCCATATTTAGTTAATAAATCGGAAAATAAATAAATTTAAGAAATTCGTTTCTATTATCGAGAATCATTTGCATATTATTTATAAGTTTGAACTGTACAAGTTTGTGTTGCATTCCCTGACATTCCTCAATCAAATGGTTAACTGTGAGAGGCTTGTCACAAATGGTGCACGATGGTGGCTGCGATTTTGTTATTTTATAACAATGAGTTAAATTCGTGTGGCCAATTCTCAATCTTGTTATTGCTACCTGCAGGCAAAATGAATTTGTACACCTAATAAAAAGTGTAAATAGAGGTGTCGTGTGGCAGCTATCGCGTTAACGAGTAAACGAAAAGTGGCAGGGTGGGGAAAACACCCTTTTATGTAAAGAGCAAAAGGGGAAAAGGGAGAAATAGAGACGGAAAATAAGCCCGAATGCGGGTGCGCAACTGCATGCGCCGCTGCAGCGACGCCGTAGTACCGCAACCCGCCGTCCACCGTCCGTCGACGTCTCGGCGCCACAGTCTCTCTCTCCGCGTGTACGGAGCCGGCTGAAGCATCGTTTAGCTCTTTCCTTTCTTCTTTTTCTCCTAAACGTGTCCACCTACCGCTTCGGCACGCTTCTGTAAAATGGTAAGTCGAAAGCCGTCGTTACGATTATCCGAATCGTCTCAGTGCGCGGCAAACGATCTAGACGGTGCGACGCGAATTTAAAATCCGTTATCGACGTGACGTCGCCTCGATTCAAAAACTCCTCGCTACGGTTTAAACCTTCAAGTATCCCCTATTCTTAGAGTTCGATCGATTTTCTTCGATACTTAGCTCCCTCCACTGTTCGCCGCGTAGCCAATTACGTTAAACGAGCACATAGTTTCCCGACTGGTACCAATTTACTCCGACGGATGTTCGAAATATCGCATGGCTTTCCATTTACAATTCTAAACGAAAGGATCGATCAGAATTATCGACACGTCTCGCATCCTTGCGACATTTTGCATGACGGAGTGTACGCGCGAATGATGCGATGAAAAAAAAAAGAAACCACGACGGAAAGGAAGCAAAACTTGGAGGACTTCACTCGGTTTGGAGTTTCTCCGAGTCGTCGCGAGATCGCAGCACCTTTCGGACTAGTCATTTGCATCGACGCGCGGTCATGGTCGTGATAACATAATCATAGAGATATTATTATATAGATAGAAAGTCTGACTGTAAATGTAAATGTTTCACCGTTAAAAAGAGAAAAGAAACGCGATAGAAAATATATATGTTATTATTGAAAGTGTAAACGATAACTATTTATCTTTAATAAAATTTATATAAAAAATGCACTGTTAGATAGAAACAATTATGGTATCACGCGTTTCTTTCTCTTTCTAACTGTAATTAATTATTAATAGCTGTAACAAATTTATTAAATAGGTATATGCAGTCTCTTTGCTGGATTTTTGCACATGCATATTCCTTTAACGAGAAACAGCGCGGTAATATTTGAAACGTAATGTAGGAGAAGCAATTTTTTTTATCAAACAGAAACATGACAAGTGATACGAGCCGAAAAATTTGAATGTCTACGGAAGTAAAGTTCACGGGAACCTAATCACAGTGCCCTTTTTCATTTTGGTTCAAAAGTAGTTTTAAGAGTGTAAACACCCCTTCGAAATAGTTCTGATTACTTATGTGTTTGCTAATATCTCTGAAACCATAAGAGATATTGAACAATTTTTAAATACAAAATTTAGCGATGTTTAATTTCAATAACACCGTAGTAAGATGTTTAAAAAATATTTATTTTGAATAATATTCTCATCATTGCATAAAAATTGTGTTCGTAATTTTGTGGACGTTTTCATACTACATAATTTTCGTCTAACCAATTTTGTTCTACCTGTGATTAAGTACCCATGAACTTTATTTCTTGCAGCAATTCAAATCTTTCGGCGTGTATAAATTGCCGAACTTTCCTTATAAGTAATTTGTTCTAGCACGCGAGTAATTTTCAAACTATAACGAAAACTGATAGGAAAACATTAATTTTTCTCAATGAAAAAGGAGAGAAGCTTTCAAAGAAATTAGAGTCATTAATTAATATTCAGTCTACTACCAAGTGAAATATTGAATGTTTAAATGCAAAAATATTTCACTTGGTAGTAGATTGAATAGCACATAGAACGATATTTGCGAAATGCTAAAACAAATTTATCTTTTTTGTTTCATTTTATTACAAACGTAAGAAAATCATGAAAGATAATTTTATAGCAGCTAAGTTACAGAATTATTCATATTCAGTCAGTCCCATAAATATTCATACTTTCTATTATCTGTTGAAGAAATTTGTCTAAATGAGATGATGGCTTTAATGTTTTCAAATTTGTAAAAGTTATTTATACACAAATTTACAGAAGATACAAATACTTATGTGACTGACTGTATTATTAAAATTCTTCAAATTTTTGCAAATATTTAGATTCTCAAAGACAAATGTCCACTACACACTTCTTCCATTTGGAACAGATTTTCATCGTTTTTTTTCTCTTTACAATTTCTGATTTGGCAAATTTTAGCAATTATGTAGATGATTGACGAGCTCACCGATTTCAGTGACCTTGAAATATGTTGTCAAGGTCACTATTCTGAGCAACTTTTCCCTAGTTCCATATTCTTATTTTTTGTTGCAGGAAAAAAAATGTCAAAAGTCAGGCGAATGACGCCAATAAAATTATTTTTGCGAATATCCGGAAAGCAATGACCGAGTTGCGGTAACACGTATAGGGAAAAGTTGTTCAGAATAGTGACCTTGACACCATATTTCAAGGTCATCAAAATCGACGAGGTCGTCAATCATCTGCACAATTACCCAAATTTTTCACGCACATCAAACTGAACTTGTATTCAGTATGACAGCATTGTACATAAGAAATTGTACACAACATAAGTGCCATAACATAAGCAGATAAGTGCTAGGCTGCGTGATAACATATTTAGTTATCCTTTCTAACAAATTCAAAGAGTCCTATATCCCTTTCAATCGGCACGATCCTCCGCGAAAAATCTTTTCGAATACTCGTCGCGTTCAAGTAAATCAGCTCAAAGAAAATTAGTCCAGAAAAAAAAAGAAAAAAAAATATATACATGTCAAATTGAGTAACCTCCTCCTTTTTCGAAGTCGGTTAAAAACATGACGTGCGCTAACTTTCCGTCATGTACCGTAATCCCGATATCGACGATACGATCATTTCTCACGATCCAAACCGATCGAGACTATCATCGATAGCGATCGTTCCCAACGTGGTCGCCATCATCGTCTACATCGTCCATCACCATCTTCGTCATCTTCAACGCTTCTACTTGGTCCACGTCGTGATCGCTTCGCAAAAAAAAAAAAAAAAAAAAATCACAGCCCTGAGCCGGTATATAAAACCTCGCAAATCTCCCCAGGTACTCGCGGACACGAATCTGCCGAATCTTCGTCACGAGCAGCAGCAACAGCAGCAGCAACATAGGTATCGTTACGAGGGCGGTCGACAATTCTCCCAGGAACGCGACACTCGGCAATGCAGAACCGCTCGAAACGGAAATCCCGAGGAGATATCCGTGTTAAATTTAGTGGACGGGGAGAGCTTGAGCTACAGCTTGGCTCTAATACGCGGACGCGCGCCGGCACCGTGCAGCTTCATCACCGTCCGCAACCAGAAGAACCAAACCTCCGAATGGCCGATCGTGGCTGGCGAGTTTCGCGCCGTGGTCGAGCTGTCCCGTGGTCCAAACAAATTGGAACTGGAGGCGGCTGGTCAAAGGAAAAAGCTGCTCCTCGTTCACGAGCCCAGAACCACTCGACTGCGGGTAACCCCGGTCTACGTGATCTGCGCAGGACACGACGGGTACTTCCAAGGTCCCCGAGGTGAGGATCGTTCGCCTGAAAGCGCGGCGACCAGGATAGGACTCGGTGCTCGTCTCCTCCAGGCCCTCACCGCTGAAAAATTGAGGGAAGCTGGGTATGGAAGGAAGACGTTTCAATTGGAACGGGACTTGGACGGCGCGGAATGCTTGGTAATGCACAGCATGCTCGACGTCGACAGAGCTCGAGCGATGAATCAACGGGAACTCTGGGAATTGATCGCCAGGGAGCTGATGACCGGTCCTTTAGCGTCGAAGGACCGCAAGTACCTCGCGTTTCTTTCCTGCACGAGGTACCGCGGGGCGCCGAATCCTCGCACTCACGAGAATACTTTGGCGAGGACGCAAGGACACGCGGCACTCGGGGGCGGAGGACTGGCGTTGTTTGGCTCGGCTTGTCTCCACACATGGCCCACTTGCATGGCTCAAGTGCTGCCTAGATTCCTCGACGCGACCGCCGTCGACACGGAACAGCTGATGGACGACAGCAATTACCGTGGCACGCACGGTGGTTGCCTGGCTACCACTCTGGGCTCGGTTCTCCACGAACTGGGTCACACATTCGATCTAGGCCACACTCGCGAGGGGATAATGGGTCGCGGATTCGACTACGTCGACCGAGTGTTCGTGGGAGCCTCTGGGATCGACTTTAATCGCAACCCCGTTTTGAGAAGAGATCCGCAGCACACGACGGTCGCGTTGAGCAGACCGCTCAGCGTGACGGTCACGGTGCAACAACCGTTCCCCATGTTGAACAGCCCTCGAAGGAGTCGCCTACATTCCGAAACGTCGCGACCCTCGCCTTCCCAAAGCCCTCCTCGATTACTCGGAAGAGTATCGGCCCCTGCCAGTCCGGAACTTAACAGGTCTTTCACTAAAAGTCTTCTGCAATCCGCAGCCGAACAAACTGCCTCCAATTCACAGACGGACCGAACGTTTTGGACGCCTTCTTGCGCGGCGTTCCTCGCTTATCATCGGTGGTTCAACAGCGAGATGGACAACATTCCCACTAGACATTACCATGACATCGAATACGATGGGAAAAGGTACAATGTTTTACCTTCGCACTTGTTGCACGATTTACAGAGAAGATCGATAGTCTTTTTCGATTGGGTACAGTACCCTCCTATAACACGTTAGGCTTAGACCGATCGCACACGGGCGCAACTGATCAGTTTCAAACCACTCTGAAGCTAGTTGCATACGACCGTGGATATAGGTAAAACAAAGATAGTGGAGTAGGTAAAACAAAGAGCGCAAACGGTTTGCAACACTAATTTCAAATCGGTGTGCGATCGGCCTTACAGCGTTATTCTTCGGTATAACAGTGTATAGAAGTCGATCAGTTTAAGGAGATTCTTTGTAGCATGAATTTTTCTATTCCACTTCTATAATTGAAATTAATGGGAGTAGCCTTAATTTTTTCATGCACGTATATCACCAGTAATCAAATTCCCCGCACCGGTGGAGAACCTACTGAGCTTTGCTGGATGATTGCCGAAGGTCCACCAAACTAGAGGGGACTGAGGAGACAGAGGATTACGGATCCTCCTTTTTTTTCGAGCATAGTTTCGAGTCACACTGCATAGCCGTATTCTGATGCCTGAATAGTAACCTGGCTCTGTCATTCATGCGAGGGTCTGGTGTCCTAGAATTAACGTTACGCCAATGGTTTTGCTATTATATGATTGGAAATTCATCTGCCGTAATATCAAAAAGTTCAATTATTCGCTTATCGAAGTCGTATTGTCGGCAAGGTATGCACCATAATGTTCTCTTCGAGTTCCGTAACGTTTAGCATAAGCGGAGCAGATGGTTCTGCTATATAACTATTGCTCTCTCGCTGTATCTTGTTCATAGCCTTCGTCACACGGTAGCTTTTGCCTCGGCCAATAAAATGCGTGCAGGTAGAGGTGTCGCTGTACAGCAAAGCACAGTACTTAGTATAATCTCCAGTGTCTCACGCGCACACTAATGAAGACTTGGGAACTTCCAGTGATCATTATTATTTATAGAAATCTATAATACAAAAGGCCAATACGATTGGATTCCATATTGAGTTTAAGGTTTAAAAACAAATGTTCAAATTTATATTTGATTATTTCCGAAAGGAACAAAGTGATAGGTCGAAAGTATTTAATTAAACGATCTGAATGTCTTTCTTTTGTCGTATACTTTTTCCTTTTCTTTTCACTTTTTTCTTATAAACATCTTTTCCGTTGCAGGAACGTCGTCAGGTCACGTTTCGGAGTACGAGTGATAGAACTCAGGGAAACATCGGGTGGAATGGTAGTAGGCTCCCGACAATTTCCAGGATCTCGACCACCTTTGGAAGCGATAGTTCCACCAGCACCACCTCACTGTCTCACCGCATTGACACTCGTCTCCGAAGATTCAGCGGGCAACGTGCTCAAATACCCTCTTCCGACGGCATTCTGAAGTTCCGTGCTCATCGTATCTTGACACGGCTTTGAAACTTCGCACGGATACGCAACCAGTGCCAATAGATAGAAATCGATAATCAAGTCCACCAATTTCTCGTCTCCGCGATTTTTGTGCACATCGTCCGTGCGCGATTGGTATTGCTTCAGCCTGAACGAAGCCAAACTCGAGATCCGATATGTACTAGTCGTGGAAATTATTTCTGTGACTTTCAAAATACTTGATCAATTTACATTTGTTTCGACAAAAAAAACCGTACATCTTTTAACTTTTTAAGTGTTCGCCCAATACTTTCGATAACCTTGTTTAGTCATATTTCAGACGATTGCCGAATTCTCTGACGAAAACAAGACGGCCTCTGTTCGATGCAACGAATTCCTCTATACACTTTAACACCTTCTCGAATGCCTGGAAGTATACATCTGCTGAATGGAGGTTGAATGACACGAATACGTGATAATCGCTAGGAGTTAGGTCGAGAGAATAAGCTCCAAGAGAATTTTAAGCTATTCTATGTGCTCCTATCATACCATAGGTGCGGATGAATTTATCTTGTATTCTTTTTTTGGGGAATTTGGAAACTTCTACTTTCGAACGCTAGTCCATATTTCGTTCTATTCTTGTTCGATGTGGCGTAATGAAGTAACGAGGCGAGAGACATGTTACTTCTTTGACGGATATATCAGCTACTCCATTACCTTTGATTCCTCAACAAGATGAACCCAAGTGAAAACTATGCCAATAGGCGTCATTGTTGGCACGATCCGCGTATATTTTTAGCATATTTTATGAAACGATTTCATGTTTGTTTTCATCGTTCACGTTTCCTATAGCATTGATTGCGTCCATGTCCTTTAACAAACTCACTGGAATACACACACAGAAATAACTCACAATCAGACTATGAAAGCCTGCAACTATTCTTTGGAAATGTGACAATATTTGTTTGTCTTTTGACTGTAGTTATATCACATTTTCATTTCATTATATCTCACGCATCTTTCATTGTTTACCTACTCTTCTCGAAAATCTTTTTAAAGAATCTTCTCATCGGACGTGCAAAGCTTGTCTTTCGGTTGATTCAATAAACTGACATAAGTGTTTCTTCACGTCCTCCGCTGCATGGGAATCTCTTGTGCCTTTATTCTACACTGTTTCAAACAATTAGCGGGACACTTTTTCAAACCGTCGTAACTGTGGGAGTTTTCAACCGATTGAAACGAAACTTAGAGTACTTTTGAAGTGTCTCCTAGGCGTGTGTAAAGTCGCATTGGCGAGGGTTGACGCGAAGGGGTTAATTCAACACTCTAAAGGGTAGGGTGTAGAAAAACGCCTTTGGAAAAAGCCAGGGATGACGGAAGGAGTTGAAAAATTCAAAAAAACCTTTGGGGTGACTCTCCTTGAAGCCTTCTACAAAATGCACCCCTTGAAATCCCTCTCAAATAAACCCACCCTCCACCCCCTCTAAAATCCACAATTTTTGGACGACGGTCTCGATTTTGGACTCAATGCATTCTCTGGACTCTTCTGATCCAGAAAATACCATCACCCATACCGTGCACCCCATAGGCACCCCTTGGGGGGGGGGGGGTGGAACAGCTCGCGAATTTCCAACCCCCTTCATAAGGGAGCACTTCCACACATCGGAGAACAATGAAATTCACCATGTTTGTTCTCGATACGTTAAGGATGAATATCGAAAAGGTCCCGTAGTATTTTTTATCTCCACTCCTCTGTTCTAACTACCTCCTGATCTACCTATCATAATCACCCTCTAGCTTAAACTTCCTGACCTCTGACTAAATCATTCTCTCCATAAACTTACTATGAAGTATTAACTAATTAAACAGTATAAATGATCTCAACTGGAGGGCTGGAGGTTATTGGTTCTGCTGTGAAAATGGATGATGCTTTACTAAGGCGAAGTTTCTTGATCATGTTGTCACAGATCGTTGTTATGAAGTCTGGTAGTTTAACGTAATAAAATGACGGATAAATATCTCTATTTGAACTAGAGTTATAAACGATTGAACGTAAGGGCACAGAATTAATTTCTACATCTAATACTTGTCTCGTAATCGTCGATACTTTGTCGAACCGTACTACGAATACGCTACGTTAGGAAACAAGTTTTCCACTTTTTACCATTTCCCACGGAAACTGCTGCAGTAGTGCTTCTACACCGGACGCAGAGAGCATCGTGTCTAAACAAGTCCTTTGCAACGATACAAACTGTATGTGCGTGGGGGCGTGTATGCGTGTGGGAGTGTCAGAAAGGAAGATGCGTGCAAAACATCGCAACCAATCAGAATTTTATACAATCTAATGAATCCTACATTTCAGAGATTATTATTATTGTAACACTATCTTTTGTAAATATCATCCTGACCGTAGCATTCAATGACAAATCCAGATATATTGACTGAATTTGTATGGATGAACGAATGCAATAGGCACGAATGGTATACTAGGTATTAGTCACGTAAGAACAAATGCTGTAGTTTTAGCATTATTATTTGTTGCCAACGACTTGTAAAAATGCGAGAAAAATTACAAAACAATGCAACTTCCACATACACGTATATGTACAGTTTAGGTATGATAGAATTACTTTGGTAAAGTTTCCAGTCGATTAATATATTATTTACGAGGTAATTTACGAATATAAAAACAAGGACTTGAGATAACTAGAATGCCTTATCCGTGATAATAACATGTAGGCATAGACAAAAGTACAAGTTAATTAATAAATGCGAAATCTTCACATGATGATGTATGTACCACTGCTCAAATGAAAATCATATAATTAATTAAAGCGACATACTTTGAACGTTCCTATTGAAACGCGCGTAAAGGCAGAACAAACGTGCCACGCTGTACACGTAGGCAGACATATCACTATGAAGATACCTGATCTAGAAATTCTGAAAATTATGAGGTTTTGAGGGTATGTAGAACATATGTGATACGTATGTACATATGTAATACGTCATTTCATCCAAATTCACTCCAAGAATTTGAAATTAAGCCCTGAAAATTCTACTTTTATGTGTACATTTCGATTTGACTTTTTCTAGATTACAAATGAATCGAAAAGAACACAATTAATTAGAAACAATACCACCCTTTTCGTCTACGTTTTTGATTTTCTCATAATGCAACGATATGAAAAGAATCCTGCTCTTATACCCAGAAACTTTTACGATTCATCACATGATAATTTTTTATAGGTTTCAAAGAGTAAAATCCATCTTTCTCAAATAAAAGTACTACCTTCATTGGCTGAACTGGGATCACCAACAATTGAAGAAACTGAGGAAGTAATACTTTTGTCTATAATTACACAGTACGCGCATACCAACTGGTAGCCCTAATTAAGCATAGATAATAAGAGTTTATTAATATTCTTGTCAGACAAGATAATTAATAAATATACCTTTGTCTAAAAACCACAATGGACAATAATTAATATGCGAGTTCAATAAAATATTCTACTATCCAAATGTAGAAATTGCAATATCAAAAATGCCAAAAATTTCTTACAAATTTTTATTGATAATTAGGTATTCTAATACTGGTAGCTGGAGAAAGTTGTTGTCTAACTTTAACCTGCAATTCAGGTTATTACACAGGTATTATAATGCATGCATATCATTACAGAAATATATAAAACATTTGCTGAGAAACAGAGAAGTCAATGATGTTACATGTTCCTACTTGTTCTAGGAATTTGGCTCATAAAACATTTTATGAGAATACTTCAATGCATACGTCTTTCACGTACAAAGAATTTGTAAAATTCCCCATGCTTGACATATTGTCTGCCCAATTGAAATATGTGACTATCATGTAAATTCAAGTCAAGGTCAAGTAAATTTTCAGATAAGCTTGTTGTCCAGCTAATGTACGATACAATAGAATCAAGAGATTTTTAGATTGTCGAAAGTTACCACCATTTATTCGTTCAGCCAATAAAGATAGTACTCATATTTAAAAAATGGAATACATTATTTCATTTGTTCGTAGAAAAAATTATTGCTATCTCTACTTATAACATTTTTTTATAATTCATTAAACAATTCATCAATCTTTCATTATTTGTTACATGTAGTTAACAGACGTAACTTTTATCTACAAATTTTTTTCTATCTCTTATGGTTTTTACAGTACAAAATGAAATCGAAAAAAAGTGAAATTTTCAAGGATTAATTGCAACTTCTCACAGTGAATTTGGTTAACAACAAAAAATTGTATATTACATAAGTACATATGCTTTACATATCCCCAAAGTTGCATACTTCTCTGAATTTTCGGAGTTGGGGATTTTCCTTTGTTAGTAGAAACTATCGGACATATAACAAATCTTTGGCAATAACTGTCGCAATCACTTTTATTAGAAAACTTTGATAAGTCAAAGAAAAAATTTTATTGCCAATAAGATCGACGATTAGTTTTATCGTTGCCAATAAATACCGTTTTATAAAACGTCCCGAGAACAAGCAGAAAAGCTCGATGTCTATGCATGATTCGCACAATTCGTATTTCGAAATGTCACAAATCTAAAATGTCTTTGTCACATACATCGGTTCTTAGATTTAATTGAAGTTACGTTCGTTTCCAAGCACTGAATCGAGTATGCTGTCCGCCACTTCGAGCAAAGGAGGAAACAAAGATGTGTCCAACGGTGAAATTAGAGTTCCATTTCCAGAAATCGTCGAAGGGAAGATATATACCGAAGAATTTCTGATCGCAGCGCGTGGTATTGTGCAAATCGTGGGTACGTAAATGCTTTCGCGTTTAGTAAAACATAACCTACGAAAACCACGAATCAATTACACCAAATTTTCGAATTTGTCTCGACTAATCTTTCAGATAAACTCGGCAAAGTTTTTGCACCAGTTAAATACGATATACAGGGGAATATTACGGTAAGTTTTCAAGGAGTTCGTTCGACTCCGTCCTAATATATTCATTCTAGTCTAATTACAGAAACTCACTACTAAATACGAGAAGAACAAGCAAGCAAATGCGACTCTACAAGACATGATATTAACTGAAAAAAACACAGAAACCAATTTAATCGCCACAGATGCTTTATTATGGCTAACTAGGTACGTGAATGAAACCACAGATGGACGAAACCCTAGCCATCGAATAAATCTGAAGTTTGCCGAGGTATCTGTCTCGTTTCCTTCTTTAGAAAATGTTCAAAAGAGGAAACGAGACAAACATATCAGCCAACTTCAGATTTATTCGAAGCCTAGGCTTTTGCCCATCACTGAACTATTTATTTTGCTTATTACCCCCTTCGACTATATAGTCAAAGATAACCGTATGGACCCCCGTTTCACTTGGCCAATCCGATTCGAGTCAATTCAATTCGATTCGATTTGAAAGGCACGCGTGAATGTTTGTGAATGTGTGTTTTATTTGTAAGGATGCGAAGTCGTATAACTTAACTATATACCTAATGCATCAATCTTACATTTATTTGTTTTCCACATTCATTTAATTCTTGCTTTACATTACTTTGCATTTGTTTAAATCTCCATTAGGAATACCAGTAGAGTATATCGTTAACAATAATATATCGTTAATAATTGCTGACCAATTTCCCATGCTTACATACAGATTACAAGTTACAGGTTTGTATTTTAAGTGCGGAATCACTTTTTACAACAATTACAACTCTCTTATCTCTTCTCAACATTTTATGAACATTCGTTAAATTAAATTTCACAAAAATACTGATATTATCATTCTAGTTTTTCTTTTTCCACACTCTTACTCTCTCCTGCATGCCTTAACTCTAATAAATCGTTTTACATTGGTATATCTGTGGCTGGCCACTTTTACTTATATTTCATACCTATTCTTCATCTGTATGTATATCTGTTGGGGCCCACTGGCCCTCCTATTAGCTCGGGTACTTCGGGATTGCCAAACCCGTACTGTAGCTAGATATAATTAAACCATGAAGACTCTTCATGAATTAAACATAGCTACAGCCCCTGAAGGCATGAATGCTTGTGTACTTCTCGACTTTTCATTAAAAATTGTCATAAATGAAAAAACAAATATTCCAATTACAGAGGACTGCATATGATCTTACTGTTTCTTGAAAAAATCATCGAGGACACTAAATCAAGTACGCCAACAGAAGATTTAGTAGCTTTCCTCAAAAAGTCTTACAAGGAAGCTCTGGAACCATACCACGGGTGGATGGCCCAACAGCTTTTCGATGTAAGCGCGCATCTATCGATCGTGCATAACAAAGAATTATATGTACTATCCATATGTCATGGAGTAGATTTTTGTCATACTATATCTCATAATAAACTGTCGATATTTTTCTTACCAATTTGGAAAAAATTAGTTGTAGATGAGTACTACTGGAAGACGTATGGATAGCATTTACAATTCTTGTTTATCCCACAATTTTCTTTCTATGATGAACCCATCAAGCAATAATAAATATTGTTGTATTACGATTTTTATTTAACTTTTTGCCAGCAGCTTCTTTCACGTATGGTTCCCACACGCTCGCAACTTTTACGAGCAATCATCGGTGAGAAAAACGACGTAAACGATACTGTTATAAACGATTTGGAAATCTATTTAACGAATTTACGAGAAAATGTATCAGTAATACAAACATTTTATAAAGCTCATAATCTTGAAAATACAACATAGAATGTATTATAGAAAATTATATGAAATTTATTATAGAAAATTCACCAAAAATGTACAACTAGGTATTGCATAAGATATAATAGCAATCAATAATTTGTTATAAATGCATAGCAGGATATATATGTACTACAAAACCAATAAGAATGCATGTGAAATTTGCAATTTCTGCATGAATTCGAACATCTAAATATAATTAGAAAATCAATTTTGGTACTAGTAATTTTAATGAGAAATATAATATTATATATGTACGGTTAAATTAATCTTTGTAGTATGTGTTGCATAGTTGAGCTAAGTAAAATGTTTTGGCACGTTGATCTGCCAAATTCTTTAGAGCAATTGTGCCTGTGATGACTTCGACGAGGAGAAAGCAAGTCATAAAAAGATTGATAAATACTTCGCTATCTCGTAGTAATGTTCCTTGATCAAAGAGAAGGAATATCTCCAAAGGAAGTTGTATTAACATCAAAATCAACCAACAACTAGTCAATTCTGGAATCTAGCAATAATTTTGTTGTATAACGAGCAGTTAAAATTCATAACATGTATAATAAACAATTACCTTGCCACCAAGATTTCCAAGATATCCCAAGTATAACTTTAGACTTTCGGATATTGAAAGTATCAGAAATACTGCTACCATTAGTAATTTATAAATGTTTGTTAAACTATTATACTGTAAGACAAAAAGTAATTTTGTAATACTTAGATGTACAATTAAAGATTAGTTAAAGTAATAAGTAACACCATATTTACTTTAGCATCTAGGCTAATAATTGCAATTGAAAGCCAAATTGGAAAAATCCACAAATTAACATATAAAGCCATTTGAAAGGGCAAGTTAGATCTTGTTTTATTTCCTGGAAATCCTTTCATTTTATTTTAGAGAGAAAACAAGTATATATATAATCAGCAACTCATGATCATAGCACTGCACAACACATTAACCGAAAGAATGTTTAATATAAAATACTTATAGGCGAGGATTTTCATATTTTCTGCTATCGATGCATCGACGCATCTCAACAGTCTCAAATACTGCATAAAAGCATAAATTCAAAATTGTTTTGATCATATACAGATAGCATTATTATGTCCAACCTAAAAAACTAAAATCCCTACCTACGTCAATACATTAAATTAGAATGAACTAATACCATTTAACTCATATTGACATAAATATTACGATTGTAAAGAAAAAAGAAAGGACAAATAACAAAAGTAAGTAGTGTTAGATAGCTTATTATTACTCTGTATAACATTGTGTGTCGTATTTATATTCTTAGTCGTAAATGCAACCTATATGTGTAGCGATATCTTGTATTTTCAGAAATACTTTGTGTCTTTTTATTTCTTTTTTCCTTACGTTTTTCTGTTCCCTTATTTGCTTACTCGCAATGGAATTACCAAAAAATGGAAGCATGAGAATGTAAAATTTTTTAGCGAGTATATCGATAAAAGATACAATATAATGTTTTGCGACGCATAAATACAGTTACACGATTTGAAATTAAGAACAGTCGAAGAAAATTACCTTAGAAAGCGAATATATTAATGTGAAAATTTCAAAGAGTTGGTGACTGAATTGATTCACGTAGCAGCATGACATGAGTTTTGTGATTTCGAGGATCAAGCGGTCACGGAAGAAAGTGACAACACAAAACGTTCGCAAAGTTTGACCGTGGTTGTTTGTACAAGTGCATGCGACATTTAACGCATTAGTAGGTTGTTCTTGATATCAATTTGAACGTTAAAGTGTTTAGAAAAGGTTTGATTATTGATTTCCAGAACAATTTTCACGATCGTAAAGGGTTAAGAAGAGGTTATCCGTCTTTTGATTTCAATTTCTCAAAACGGTGAAAACTGTTGAAATGGCCGGTGCAATGTTGTTCGAACGGGCACAAGCAGTTTCGATGACGAATCGTAGCGAAGGTATTTCGCTTCTCAACGAAATTGTCTCCGATCCGAGCATCGGTGTTACCGACGATGACGAAGATAACATTCGGGTAAAGGAGCAAGGTATTCTACACCTTGGCGAACTTTACAAAAAAGAAGGAAAAGCAAAAGAGCTTGCTGAATTGATCAAAGCTACCAGGCCATTCCTTAGCTTAATTAGCAAAGCCAAAGCTGCTAAGCTCGTACGATCATTAGTAGACTTTTTCTTGGACCTAGAAGCTGGTATTGGTATCGAGGTATTGAAACAAACAGTTCTCATTGAATTTTAGTAGATAGTTTACGATCTGTCTTACTTTTTTCCTTTGCACAGGTCCAGTTATGTAAAGAATGTATAGAATGGGCAAAAGAAGAACGTAGAACGTTTTTAAGGCAATCATTGGAAGCACGTTTAATAGCATTATATTTCGATACTGGTATGTATAGCGAAGCGTTACAATTAGGATCAGCACTGCTCAAGGAACTTAAGAAACTGGATGACAAGCAACTACTAGTAGAAGTTCAATTGTTGGAGAGCAAAACTTATCATGCATTGAGTAATTTAGCCAAAGCAAGAGCAGCACTTACCAGTGCTAGAACAACAGCCAATGCAATTTATTGCCCACCCAAAATGCAAGCTGCTTTAGATTTACAATCTGGAATTTTACATGCTGCCGATGAACGAGATTTTAAAACCGCATACTCTTATTTCTATGAAGCATTCGAAGGGTAGATTATTATTTTTTTGAGTTATATTTTTATCAATACTGCTGTATAAATCTTTGCTAATGTTTTTTCATTTCTCAATCATTGTTAATAGGTACGACAGTGTTGAAAGTCCAAAGGCTTTAACAGCTTTGAAATATATGTTACTATCAAAGATTATGTTACGTACACCCGAAGATGTACAATCACTTATGTCTGGAAAGTTAGCTATTAAATATGCTGGGCGGGATTTAGACGCAATGCGAGCAGTCGCTGAAGCGAGTCATCGTCGATCACTAGCAGACTTTCAAACTGCTGTTAAAAAGTATCGCGAAGAACTAGAAAATGACGTGATTGTACGTGCTCATCTAGGCTCTCTTTATGATGCAATGCTTGAACAAAACTTGTGTCGTTTGGTTGAACCTTATTCGCGTGTACAGGTATGCTGTTGGCTATTTCGATTTGGATTAAGGAGTTATATCACATCTAAATAGAATATTATTTGTATGGATTCAAACTATTTATTAATTTCGTTCTTTTGTCTTTCACTATAGGTCAGTCACATCTCGACCTGCATATCATTACCGCTTGCTCAAGTGGAAAAGAAGCTATCGCAGATGATATTGGATAAAAAACTAAGGGGTGTTCTCGATCAGGGTGAAGGTGTTCTAATCGTTTTCGAAGATACCCCGCGTGACAAGACTTACGAACTTGCATTGGATACGATACACAGTATGGGGAAGGTCGTTGATACACTTTATCAAAAAGCGAAAAAACTCACTTAGCTATATTTAATATATTCTACCATCAAAATTTGTTATAATTATTATTACCATTAACTATCATTTCGTGTCGTTAAAAAACAAATTAAATTACATTTGCTGATATTCATTATATAATTTAAAACACGTTCCTGCCTTGAACATTTCTATTTTCTGTATAATACCAATTTGACCGTATCGTTTATTTTTACATGTGAAATTTATTTAGCTCAATTGATAATATCAATCCGTTTTTTTGTTCGCACGTTTACATTGTACCCGAGTGCGCGCATTACACACGCCATACATACGTCCATCTCTTTTTCTTTTTTAATTACACGTATGTATTGACACATATGCAGATGGTGGTGAATTTTATACGTAGTAGTACTTTTGTTGGTCAACCCTTTCTTCAGAAACAGATTGGAAAAATAACGTCGTGATGTGCAAAATACGAAATACAGTACTATGATGCGAAACGATTCATTTTACTCACTTATTTATCCTCTTTGAGGTACTGGAATGGCATCTAAATAACTGCAAAATTGTATCCTCTTTATCTAAAAAGATTACGTCTGTTTACAAAGTTTGTTTAAAATTTGATAAAACATTATTTTAAATTTGTTAACTTATGTTTGAAGGTGTTAGAAAACATTATCCCAGATTACTATGCACCTGAAAATCGATCTTTCTCCTTGTAGTATGATTAAAATTGAAATTAAAGTATCATTTCAATCAAATATTTCAGTGACTTAAGCTATGATGAATATCATTATAATTTATTTAATTCCATAATTTTATACTAGACTCGAGTATTTCGATTGTACATAATTCTTTTATAATAAAAAAATGAAGTTGGTGTGCCATTTAGTATAATTATCATTTGTTTCAAAATATTTCCAAAACCTATCATAGGTCTATCTCATCTTGCAAAAAACAAGAATGGAAGGATTCTTGAGGTGTTTAACAAAAAAAACTCGTATTACGATAAAGTTATCGTAACTGCTGTTACAGATTCTGATTTGATGGCGTAGTAGGAATATGCATCACGACTTCCTGTTTGAAGTTGTACGTTACAACAAAGGGACAGTGTGGTTATATTTTATAAAGTTTTTTTTTTTTATGAAGTGTATAATGGCGGATATCACGGCACAGAAGGTAAAATAATTTATGTTACCGTTTTAATCGCGAACAAATGAAATGCTAGACTAAGAGACTCGTGTTGTATGCTTCACAAATTGCAAGCACGAATATTTAGGTTAATGTAACGTTTCACTTGAACCGGCAACGTTATCCATGATAATGATTGCTTTTCCCCTTAACAATATTCTCGAAAGATTTATTATCGTACAATCAATATTTAAATATATAATTTGTTAACTAGTTCGTATTCTTAATTCACACACTTGATTAGCGATTTTATCTCAATGCTTATCCAAAGACTACACATGTGAATTATGTTGTTGTATTGATGTTAAATTTCGGTTATGAATTATTTTGCTGTTTTCTACATTCAGTTGTTGTTATGGGGATCGTTACACTTTAACAGAAAAAACCTGCAAATATATGTATAATAATTACCATTTAGTAATAAATTTTGTGCTTAATTTCATTTCATTTATAGATTCAAGATATATCTGTATTGATTTGGTAATCAAATTATGGTACACTTCCAATTCAGTGTAACCATGCTATCTAATTTATTTATCTTTCAAGTTCATTTTACAGGTTCAGGAATACAAAGACTCCCTTAAAACTAAGGTAATTGGTTGAATGTTGGTTGAAAGTTCCCTTGACACATAGCTTTGTTTTAGCTGTGAAGGGTATATGATACATACGTTTGTAATTGTCTAGGCTGAACAACTATTGTTAAAAGGATTTCCTGAGAAGATTGTCAAGTTAAATGAGTTATTGGAGACACGTGGATTCTGTAATAGAAAACTGTCGGATGTTCATCAAGATTTAAATGTGCCCATTCCAGATCCAATAGTTCTTAATCATTCCGAAGATGGAACTGGTACAAAGAAACGAAAAACTGACAATAGCATAGACAATACTAGTGGAACCAAAGTAATGGTACTACCAAATGGACCCGTACCTTGTAACAAGCCTCTAAGCGATCTTATTTGCATAGTTAAACCATATATTCGTCAACTCTTGGAAGATTCTAATTTGGTATGTGTTTTAGGAGCTAATAAAAAACAAACTTCAAATACGATTGCTTATGTTTAAATTTTGTATTTTTAGTTAAAAATGTGGGTCTCTTTTCTAATTCCAAAAATCGAAGATGGAAATAATTTTGGCGTATCGATTCAAGAAGATACACTTGCTGAAATACAATCAGTAGAAAGTGAGGCTGCTGCATTTTTTGATCAAATATCAAGGTAATGCAAATTGCAATGTCTTATGAAATATTATTTTTCAATGAAATATAAACTGTAGTCAATTAACTATATTATTTATGTGGTAGGTATTTTATCACTAGAGGGAAGATCGTTAGTAAAGTTGCAAAGTATCCACACATCAGTGATTATAGAAGAGCTGTACAAGAATTAGATGAAAAAGAATATGTGAGTTTGTGGTTGGTAATGAGCGAAGTCCGTAATCGCTATTGTTCTCTACACGATTTGGTAATTAAGAATTTGGAGAAAATCAAAAAGCCACGCTCTTCCAACGCGCAATCCTTGTACTAAACGCTATATATATTACTTATACCTGGTAATGTACAGGACGATAACAAAAAGAAAATCGAAAAGTAACATGCGCGACGTGAAAAAAGTTATTCTCGACTTTTTCAAAGAAAAACTAGAATTATCTTCCTTTTTCATTTGTGATCCCATAGTCTCAGCGTTGACTCGTTCGCTTAAGTACCTAACATTTAAAGTGTAATTATTAAAGAGTCGCTACAAATTGAAAATATAATTATACTGATCTCTTTGAAAAATATTAGACACACAAAATAAAATATAACTAACTTATATTCATCTGTGGAAATAAAAACGAATAGTTGTTTTTCTTTTGTATCAAGACTTTTAGTCAATCATAAATTGGAGTAATTTAATTTTTACATCACTTCAGAATCTTCAAACAAAACTACACTTATAATTAAAACTTGCCGAAAGTATGACCCCTCTTTTTTTTTTAAACAATTTTTCATTGTTCTCTGTTTCGAAAGTTCAACTGTTCGATTAAACGAATCGTACGCGTGTGACGTACTTACGACAAACTTTAATAGATGTAAAAGTGCTAGGATATCTGTCCTTTCGTCTAATTAAATCTAGAATATAGTTAATCATGTAATTTGTAATTTACATCTGTAATGATCGTTAGTATATAAATTAAGGTATAACAAACGGTTTTTGTAGATGGTATTAACTTAAAGCCCGTTTTCTTTCTTTAAATGTGATGTACATTACGAAAAACTGATACAACTTAGTATTACGACGAAGTTCATTTTTGTCGCATCAGCTGTACGGAACACGAAACGTTTAGACTATAAAAGCAATAACTGTAAAATGTGTTCAGGAACATGCATTTTTCTCAGAAATCTGGTAGAAATACGTGTTGAAATAGTTTTCAGTACCTGGTATACACGATTAAACGTCAAACTGCTTCGTCACCGTTAGCCATTTTTACTCACCCAACCTATTCTTCGTTTCCGTCTCGCAAAAATTTCATTTACTCTTTGTTATTTATGCTTCTTCCGCGTCATATTGCCGGAACACACAGGACTAATGGTTTCGGAAAGTTAAAATCTTGCATATGAATAAATTATACGTAGATTACGTATAAATTTATATATTTCTTAATCAATTTTATAAAATGTAATAAAAAGTATAAAACAATCCGAGTTCGTCCGATGAATAAAGTTCATCCGATTCCCTCGATAATTCATGATAAGCTAATATAAAAATAACAATTTTAATAAATACATAGTAAATCTCTTCGAGTTGCTAAAATTGCTAAGTCAGAACGAGTTTCCTGGCGTACGCGCGTGGTGCCATGTTATAAATGAGTTACCTCTTTAGCAGTTTCCTAGACACGTTTCTCAGTTGCTATTACTGTCTGGTACTTTTTCTCTAATATAAATATAGAACCAAAAGTGGCTCGTTTCTCCAAGAGGAGACAAACAGTATTAAATTTCGTTCCCTTAACCTATCAGTTGCTGGCCCTCAGATCTCGATTGTATTGCAACTCAAAGAGATAATACTATGTTTTAACACGTCGAGTGCCGATCGAATTTGTCATGTTTTCCCATTTTCACTGGATGCCCCAAAGGCGTTTTGAATTATCAGTATTTCTTCAAATTATTATGTGAAAACTACAAATTTATTATTTTAATTAAATATTTTAATGGTGTACTTATTATTTTATAATATTCTTAATGTTTTTAATGTTATGTGAAAGTTCACAAATATTAGAATTTATTTGTGGTACAAGTTCTAAGGAAACATTGTATATTCGAAGCATTTAATAGCCGATGCCTGCCACGGCACTCAACGTGTTAAAGGCTACCTTATCTTGAATAGTCTTCACTATGTTTCTTCAAAAAGGCCTGGGTTGAGGTAACAATGTTTATTAAATCCTATCGATGTTACCATTAAAGTTTGGCATTCATTTTTCATTGTCCTCTGTTTATTTAAACGCTCGTCAACCTGCAAAACATTACTTAGCTACAGCTATTTTAACTCAATTACAAGGCGACTATATCTTAACAAAAATTGGTTACCATATTTAGTAAATCCTGGAGATGAGTTGTATGTGCATAGTTCATAAATACTTCGCACAAAATTTGTATAAACCAACTGCCAGTTATTTTATCCCGAAAAGCAACATGTCCTGGAAGAGTAGCATGTACGACAAACATATCCGCACAATTTCTCATTGTCTCGTTATCATTCATTTTAACTTTAATCATTTCATCGTTTGAATTACTGATTCGTAATTGAGTAGTATCTGTTGTATGCCTCGGTACTTTTAACGAAGTTTGCAATTTATCTCCTCTAAAAGAACATATTTTCAAATAACATGATATTGGTAAGTTTATTGCAATGTAGGAAATATATAATGATTTTGTCAGTGTTAATAAGCAAACTTTATATCATATAGATTTTCATAGTATTCATTGGGTAGAGATAATACTTTAAGCATTTCGGTACTTGCCTACATAATTGAAAAATAAAAATCTTTGGTTTTCCTGCAAGATGGGGACAAGCTGCTGATGTAAAGTAGTCCAATATATCCATGCACAAAACAGGTTTGGAATTTTTGTGTACTTTAGCTTCTGGATCATAATCCACACCTCCTATTTCTGTTACTTCGTAATTGGCGTTTATATTACCGTGACTGCTAATGATAACAAAGCATGAATCAACTTTCCGTAAGTCTTTGTTTTGAGAAAATTCTTTCACCTTCTCTGTTACTTGCTTAAAAAAATACATATTATTGCAGTTAAAGGATTCCAATTTCTCCAGATAACTTTA